GGCGAAATCTGCAGGAGAAGGACAAGTTTCAGACATCGCCGCTGGCTAACGAACTGACCATGTCCATGGAGAAAGAGCTGATCGACCATAATTTATGACGCCGAGTGCTGGTCCTCCATTATGGCTGAGGAAAAGATTCTTCTAGTAACGTAAAGGGTAATGAACAGAAGAATATGAAGGATCCCTTCGAAACCAAGTTCCAAGTGCGACAGTTCGGAGTCGGATGAGATTGTTGGAAATACTCACCACCGCCTACAACTCGAACAGACGATGAGTTCGATGAACGGAGAAACAAAAGTCACAACGCCGAAAAGAATGGGGGGAATGTCAACTTCTGTCTGCAGCAAAGTAGCTGACGAAACCAAGTTGCCTAGGACGACGGTCTCCTCTGCGGTTATTCTCTTTTCCCGTTGTCCTCGCAAACCAGTTGTGGCATAACAATACTGCCACTGTAGGAGAGCGTCGTTGGTTATGATTATTCGTATCTTGTTACTTTCTTGCACTAAAGAAGTAGGTGGTTTTCACCTCTCTTGTATAATCAGGTTTTTGGCAGTGAATCCCGCTGCTCGTCCCTCTCATCGAAACATTCAGGCCCAATCGCTGCCGTCTGCGCTAACGTTTAATAGCGTTTAATATCCTAATTGTGGTTTTAATATATGAAGTCAAAATTAAACCTGTAGCTATTTGCTGTGGTACTACTCATATAGTTTAAGTTTTATAAGGATGTAATGAAAAGAAATGAAAAGCGTAGCAGGGGCATCTATTACCTTACAATAGAATCGCATGTTCGACTCCGCTTTTGTGTGGTATTCGTATTCGTTTAACGCCGGAGCGAAACTTCGAACTTGTGCCGCACGCGGGGACTAATTGATTTTCCGGTGAGAAAGCATTTAGCAGAAGTGATTTCAGTTTTATATCCGCTGCGTTAATCGGCCAGCCAGCAAGTGAGACGGGACATGATTAAATAACGGCGATCGATTTCCTGTCCTGGTTCACCACCTCTTGTCTGTCCGTCAAACGTCAGCCCATAGTGTCTTCTTTTGCTCGCCTTACCTTACTCTGTCGTCGCGTGCCCTTTTCATCGACGTCTTCCTCGTCCCCGTCCCAGTCCCCGTTCCCGTCCCGCCCCAGCAGTCGTGTCGACCTGTGACGTATGTGCGTTCAACGATGTTCCGCAAACACATGTCCCGCTGTCGATGACCAACCGACTGGCCACCACTGACCAACCGACCGACCGGCCAGCCGGCCGGCCGGCCGGCCAACTGCCGCCATGAGCCATGAGGAGCGCGATGAGAACGCATCGGTCAGCATGACGACCACGACGGCTGCTGACGTTTAACAGCGTCGCCTCCATTTCGCAGAGAGTAGCGAATCTTTAATTTAGTGCTCAATCAACATCGCGCGCCTGCATCTTGGCTTTTTCCCATTGTTATGCGCCGAACGGTGTCAAGCGAGCAACACGTGGCATGTAAGTTCGATTGTGATGGATTGCTGACCAATAAAAGCGAAACGTAATTATAATAAACGTATAAAAAATTAAATGTACTTTAAATTATTTTACAATGAAATTGAAACTTATTAAAATCTATACAAATAAACTGTTGCGCATTGCCAGAAATAGAGCTATGATTCACAAGTACTCAGCCTCCTGAAGCCTTCGTTTGAGAAATTGATTCTGTGAGACTCGGATGGCTTACAGCCGTGGTTAAAATTTAAAATTTTATTCCTTCAAGCTAGACAACGATTTGAAGCTAATAAAATTCATTATAAAAAGAATAGTAACAATTGATTTGAACTTCATTTTGCTTGTCTTCTTCAGAACCAATTATTTCTAAAGCATGAAAGCTGAACAGGGCGATAGCATCGTGATATAGCCGCATATATTTCTATTCGTAACTTATGTAAACGATACGTGATAAACAGATCTTGATTTCGGATGCACACGTTGCACTGACGTCATTCGCAGGTATGCTTTGCATACAGCCGTTTCTTATGACGTTCGAAAATGCCTCTTTTCCCACACTTACGATTATACGTATTTTATTGTTAATTTTTATCGCGTTTTCATTCTTCTTCGTTAGTTGCGATTCCTAGATTTAAGATTTTGGTCTAAGTGGATTTTGGCTAAACATGAAGCGTGATTAAAATATAAAGTTGGTATAAATATAAACTAGGTACAAGGATTTAAGTAAGTATGGAAGAAATATTAAAGCTGAAAAAACCTTAGTTGAATACGCGTAGTGAATCATGTTTAAAAAATTCAGTTTTTATAAATTCCCGTAACAAGCAGTTGATGCTGTTCCAAAGGACGCTCCTGGGGGCTGTAGGTACTGGTTTTGAAGTTATATTTATATAATTTTTCTTGTTATTGCTTGCACAGTTCAGGACGGAACCAGAGATTAAAATCACTCATGAATCCGGAGCAAGATCCACAACCATCTAACATTTTGAAGGAGGCTA